GTTTGTTTGCTTGTTTCAAGACAGGGTCTCACTATATAGCTCTGGCTGTCCATGTAGACTAAGCGGGACTTGAATTCACAGAGATCCACTGGCCTCTGCCTCCCAAGTGCTGGAATTAAAGGCATGGCTTGATTCCATCATCTTTAAGTTACTCATTTATGAAATAGATACGGCCTTCCGTTCCCCAGGGGCTAGACACCCGGAGATACAGGAGACAGGATGATCGGGGAGGCAACCTGGGCTTGGATCCCAGCTCCACCGCTTGCTAGCAGAGGTAGACAGCACACATCTTCACTTCCTGATACGTAGGTATGTAAATTGAGTGTGATCATAGCAGCACCCAACTCCTGAGGTGTTACACAGACGGTTCGGGATAATCCACACAGAGTGCCCAAACACAGGAGCACTCAGTTACATGAAGAGGAGCAAAGCAGGGGTGGGGGGTAGGGGTGACCTGGCTGCTTGAGTGACTCCAGAGGGGGAGGTTTTTGTTCTCCAACTGTCCTGCCAATGGCTCAAGTCCCCGTTGCACAGAGGGAAACCACCCAGAAGGCCAAGCCGCAGGCCCTGTATCACATCTGCAGGACCAGGTCAGGAAATGGAGAAGAGAAGGCCAAGGGGGATCAGGAGGCCCTGGAACAGCCCCTTTGGCTGCCTGCCTCCCCCAGCACTCCAGAGCTAGAGGCACACTTTTGTTATTTTTTAAACATTTCACCTTCTTACTCATTGGGTATTTACTTTTATTTTTAAACTATGTGTACACGCATGTGTCTGTGTGCAGATATGTGCAGGTACCCACGGAGTCCTGAAGATGGTATTGGAGTCTTTGAAGCTACAGTTACAAGCAATTGTGAATCACCAGATTTGTCAGGCCTTCGGGAAGAGCTCCTAACCACCGAGTGGTCTTGCCAGCACCGAATGCACTCACTTTTGACGCCCAGACCCTATACTGGCCTTCTGCATCTGTCCCTGAATTCCTCCCCACAGCCCTGACAGAGGCATTATTGTCCCCTTTGGCAGAGGAGGGGAGAGATCTCCTGGGCCACACAGGCAGTGGAAGCAGAGGGAGGGCCCACAAGTCTGGGTTCCTCATCCTGCCCTCCTGCCCCCCCCACAAGTCCAGGTTCCTCATCCTGCCCTCCTGCCCCTGCCTCCTGCTCTTCAAGGTTTCTCCTACCTTGAGGCTGACATCGTTGTTGCTGCCCTGATCCTGAGCAAGGTTAGGGCAGCTCTGGCCACCCCAGGGCCTGGGAAGGAAGCACAGGAGAAAAGAATCAGCAGAATCCTGCTGTCCCCACACCTGCCACACACTGAGTCTAGAGGTCCCTCCCCCATCTAATCCAGGTCCCAGGCTCTGCAGGATGACCCACTCAAACCTTTGGAGGAAGCCTACCAACAGCCTCTTCTGCTTTCTTCCCCATTTCCCCAACATACAAACACACACAGACACATTCTGTCACACACAGAGACACATACACACTCATAGACACACACTCACATACAAAGACACACACAAACACACACACACACACACACACACTCACAACAAGAGGATAGTGCCCTGATGAGTTTAGAGCTTCATGTTTACCAAGAGCCTCTGGGTGCCAGACTTAACTCTAGGGTCTATGCCTAACTGATCACTTTCAGGCCTCAGAAAAATATCAGTGCCTAGGTACTTCAGATAAGAAAAACAGAGGCAGAGAGTCAAGCCACTTGTTCCAGAGTCACAGATACTGAGCCTTAGAACAAAGTTGCCATGGCTATCCTCCAAAGCTTGATTAAATATTGCATTAGTGGGAGAAAGATTTACACATGTGTTACCATCCCTCTGCCCCTCTCCTGAGCAATCAGCAGGGGTCAAAGGCCTGTGCCTCACTTCAGGGCCCCATTCCCATGGCTGGTAAGAATGGGGTCCAATTGTATACATAGTGTGCATGTATCATCACGCTGGACCAGCATTCCCTCTCCTGCCCTCCTCCTGACTCACCTGCACCCCAAGCCAGCCTCCTCTGTGAATGTGGAGGGGTGTGGGGAGAAGCTATCAGGCCTATAGGGCAGGTTTCTGCCAGACAGGGTAAGGGAGAGGGTGTGTCTTCCAGGTGGGGGTGGCAGAGCACTGGCAGGGTGTGGGCACCCCAGGGCACCCAGGCTTCCAGGCACAGAGTGGCTGGGCCCTCCCCTCTTTAAGGTGAGAGAGCAGTACAAACCCCTCCCCTCTGCCCCCACCACGCCCTCATGCTTCCTGAGCCAGCAGGCCGAAGACAGCTGCGTCATGATAAGATCTGAACAAATTGCCCAGTAACAGCACAGACATATAAACACCCAACACCCAGCACTGTCAGCACACCCACACATTCTGCTCATGCGGGGCCGTATGAGCTACGGGGGCCTCTTCACTATCCCTAGAAGCCGTCAGGCTCAGCCATCCACAGGGCACACTATTCTCCATTCAAACAACTGCCAAGAAGGGCTCGCAGAGGGGAAGGATGTTACTCCTGTTACACAGCCAGCCGGCGACTATGGGTTGAGCAGTCTGCCATCATGGCTTTCCCATCTGGCCATCTCCATAGCAACAGAGCTTTTGGTGAAGTGAGTTCAGAAGTCAGCCAGCTAAGGGGTGTGTCACAGCTTCACAGCTTCCCAACTGTGTGACTTTAGGTAGGTGACTTCACTTCTCTGAAACTCAGCTTCCGGATCTGAGTCACAAGGGATACACGGCTCACAGGGTCACCAGGTTGGTTGCTTCAGAACATTCAGGGAAGGCAGGAAGCAAGGAGCATAGGAAGGTTCATTGTGGGTACAGTCTAGAGCTATCTCCAGGTTCCAGGATGGCAGGGAAAAGCTATGTATGGCATCTGAGGGCAAATACAGTGCAAATACAGCTCTGGAATCTGTCAGACTCACAACAAAAGACCACAAAGGCCAGAGAAACATTGACCTGTGATGTGAGAACCAAAGTCCACAGCGGGCTGCAGAAGGAGGGCGGAAAACTCACTGGTTAGCAGCTTGTCTGACAGGAAGTTATCAAAATTGCTTTAAGTTAAAAAAAAAAAAGCACAAAGACTGTCTGTCCAATGCAATGGAGTTTGTTTGTAATCCCAGCACTTGGGAGCCACGGCTGCTCTACATACATACATGGGGATACCGTATCTTCTAAAACGGGGGGGGGGAGTCCACGGAGAAATTCCACAGTTCTTAGATCCAAATCTTGACACACTGCCACGTGTATTTTTGTGCTCTAAGATATTCACATGCTGATTTGAACTCTCATTAAATTTTTAGACACACTAGTCCCAAATGCATACCCCTAGGCCAGGGACGCCCCACCCAGCCTTTCTCCATCTCCCCTCACCTATCCGGGAGTCTGGTCTCCTTTGAGATCTTGCCCCTGCGCTCCCTTCGGCCACCTAGTCCAGTCAAGAGCCGGGCCAGGCGAGCCCTGAAGCCTCTGCGTGGCTCTCTCATGGCGAGATCATGGTCTGGGGCTTCAGCCGGTGGGGCACTTGGCTGCAGGTGTCACCCGGATCCTCTGTCCAGGCAGGGAAGCGCCTCCTCCGGCCCGTCCCCCTGAGCAAACAGCAGCCTGGCTCACAAGGACCGCGGGCGGGGACCTGATCCAGATGTTGTCGCGTCCTGGGCCTGCAGGTGCACCTTCAGGGGACCGTGCCCAGGCCAGGTCTCAGTCCGGAACACTCCCACACCGACCTCCCCCTCCAGGGCTCCTGCTCTCTACTCGGTCCGCTCTGCAGCTCTGCAACTTCACACCTCTGATGATGTCGGAGGTGGATTTGCGTAAGCACTCGGGGAACTGGACCTGAACAAAGGAGTCTGGGACCCGCCGGGACCGGGGAGCTGGACCGAGCCTAGTAAGGTCCTGGAGTTGCTACTGCACTGGATTGGAGCGCGCACAGGAAAGGGGCAGACTCTCACCAACCGAGTGGGGCCTAGCCTAAAGGGTCGGCATCCCCCGCGCCCCAAAGGCGTGACAAGGTGAGCAGAACCCCGACCTTCGTTGCTGGAGGGGCCGAAGCCCACCTTGCTATCGCCTGAGCAGCTCCCTAGGAGGGTTCTCTCAGTCTTGGAGCTACCTACCACGTGGAGTGGGATTGTCACTCCTTATGGAGATGAGGAAGCCACACGGAACCAACAGAGATGCGACTGGCGCCCTCTGCCGCAAGTCGGCCAGAGAACCTCACAGTGGTTAAATGAGTCATTCTTTGTAGCCTTCCTTTATTGTGGCTCTAACCTGATCCTCCCGGGCAATTTGCTTTCCCACCTTATGGCGCCTGGCTCATGCGTGGAGGAAGGGAACACTTGGCCCATCTAAGGGGATCCCGTGCAGACAGGTCATCCGTAGGGCTGCTTCTTCCCTGTTTGTTGTCCTAGTTGGCTGGCTACCCCTTGACCTCTGGTGCTCTGGTACACAGGGGACATCATGATCCTGGGTCATGAGAGGATGGGAGCATCAGTTCTTTCTCACCCCATCCCGTGGACATGGCAGGGTTAGTAATACCAGCTGACCTCTCCACCTTGGCTGAGTAGGAACTGAGATGGGAAAGCGGTAGGCAGGAGCCCACGGACAATCAAAGGTGTTCAGGAAGGAGGGCAACGTGTCCTGTGCTTGGACTGCACACAAATCAGCCTGGCTCCATTCTCAGTGGCTTCCAGGTGCTCTCTGTCCATCAGACCAGGCAGCTAAAGTGACTGATAAAAACCAAATGGCTGCAGTCCTCCTGCCTCCAGTGTCGCTCCTCCCACGGAGGGCACTGCCTTCATCCAGTCCTGAAAGGCAGCACTGTCCATAGGTGAGGTGAGATGCAGAGCTCAGTCCCAGATAGGTCCCAGACAAGGAGCGGAGCCCAAACCCAGCCTGAGTTGGATGGCTGCATGTACCCACCCCACATGGGCTGTGTGCCCGGCCCTGCTCCCAGGTGAAGGATGGGATCTGGCAGGTGCACCGGGACACGCCCCTCCCCTGGAGATGCTCATGAAGCCTGGACTCAGCACTGAGAGAATATTTTAATTGCCAACACTCCATTCCCAGAGAAACCCTAGCACCACTGTTCAGGCTGGCTGCCCTTGCTTTCCCTGGGACACAGAGGACACCTTGACCTTGCCACATCCCAGCCCATCCTCTCTGGTGATGCTTCCACGAGACCCGGTGGTCCTCGGTGCCACCGGGCAAGGCAGGTGAGAGAGGGGAGGGGGATGTTGGCCAGGCTATAGGGCCGAGGAGCCTGCAGCCCACGGTGCAGCTTCAGACGAACATTCGCAGTGAAGCGCCTGGAACACACGTTGCACTGGGAGGGTTGGGCACCTGAGTGCAAGCGAAGGTGGGTCTTGAGGTTGCTGGGGCTGCTGAAGCGCTTGTGGCACATCTGACAGGAATGGGCACTCATGTCATCCCTGCCCTCCAGCGGGCTCAGGGCCTCTCCCCCACCCCCACCCATCCTGAACACACCTCCCCTAACCCAGCTTCCTGTTAAGGCAGACCCAGAAGCTTTTCTGATTGTTTTTCCCTGGGACCCACAGCAGGGCACATTAGAGCCTGGCAGGTGGGGGTTAGCATTCTCCTTTTATTCCTGTGTGACTCTGTGTGAGTGACTACCCTCCCTCTGAGTTTCTTTCTTTCTCTGTCAGTTATAGATGAGCACTGATTCCTAGCCTCATTAGTTCGGGAAGACCAAATAAGGTCAATTGCTTAGAGCCCTGATGTGAGGGGCTGCAGGGGCGGTGGGTGTAGTCGACACTCACTGGGGAACTGGTCAAGCCAGGAGCTGACCTTGCATAGTCTTCCCAAAAAGCATGACTAAAACCCGGTGAAAGGGCAGAGGCTCAGAGCAATGAGGCCTCTGGCCAAGGGCCACACAAGTTGGGAGGAGGAGGTAGGCCTTGAACAGTGGTCTGACTTTGGAGCTCAGACTCAGAACCAACGACATTGCTCTCATTTCTGCCCCTGTAAAAGGAAGAGACTCCCTGCCTCTGCCCTCCCAAAGAGTGAGAGCAGACTCAAGGAGCTGCACTGATCCAGCTGTTTGCCTGTTTGGATTCTTTTGCATATGCTATGGTTCCTTCAACAACCCAGGGAGGTAGAGAAGGGCATGCATGCTCTGGGATCTTCAACTTCACTGTTCTCTGTGCACAGGCCTGAAGCTGTATTTTCTCCTCCAACACCACATATCCCAGTGGTCCGTCCAGAGCTGGAGCACGGGCATGCACGCACGAGCTCTCCACACTCCCCTTCTTCCCACCCTCTACCCTCTCCTCTCCATCTTTATTTACTCAGGGAAACAGAGGCCCAGGTGCCACCCCTCCAGGGACCTAGGATCCCTCACCAACTTGAAGCGTACATGTGAAGAGGACAAGGGTCTCACCCGGCACTGGTGGGGCCGCTCCCCTGTGTGCACCAGGTGGTGCTTCTGCAGGTGGGCCAGCTGGGTGAATCTCTTCTGACACAGGGCACACTGAAATGGACGCTCCCCACTGTGTACACGCAGGTGGACCTGGAAGAAATATTGCCAGGTGCCCAGAATGTCTGACGGGGCCCAGCATTCACTCCAAATCTCCACCCACACCCTCTGCAGGGTCCATTGCTGGCATCCAGGACTCTATCACCTCCCTCTAACACTATCAATACCCAGAACACTCTCATTATTTGGTCTGCCCTGTAGCTGAGATTCAGGAAGACAGATAAGGGGTACCCCAGGTATTGCCTAGAATAGCTACGTAAAGTACAACTCACAGACCAGCAGCATCAGTATGACCTTGGGAACATGCTAAAAATACAAAGCCTATGGACTGGAGAGATGGCTCAGTGGTTAAGGGCACTGGTTGTTCTTCCAGAGGAGCTGGGTTCAATTCCCAGCATCCACATGGCAGCTCATTTTTGGTTTTTCGAGACAGGATTTCTCTGTATTGCTTTGGACCCTGTCCTGGAAGTCATTCTGTAGACCAGGCTGGTCTCAACTCACAGAAATCCACCTGCCTCTGCCTCCCCGGTGCTGGGATTAAAGGCATGGCCACCACCATAACATAAACAAATTTTTAAAAATGCAGAATCTAGGGCTGACCCCTGGACCAGCTAAGTCATCATCTCCGTGGCTGGAACCAGGGAATCCGCAGATTTGCTCGCTGTCTGAATGGTTTGAGGTTAAGGCTTAAGCATCCCTTCCTCAGAGGATCCAGTAGAGCGGTTTCCCTGGTAACCTAACCTGCACACAGCTTGTGGTCTTGGCTAACAGGGAGGGGCCCGTGGGTATCCCCTGCTGGATGATGTATAGTGACACCTACAGCACCCAGCCTGATTTGTGGGATCCCACTTGAAAAAGGTTGTTTGTAAGACTGTGGTCTCGTGTCACCAAAACCTACCCATTCCCCCTTTTTGATCTTCAAAAGTAAGAAGGAAGCTTAACTGGGGACCCAGAGAGGATACTGTCTGGGAAAGAGCTTGGTAGTTGATGCCAAGAAACTGAAATTCAAACTCAAACCCACTAGAAAACTGGTTACCTTGGGATCCTGCCTATTAGGGACCTCAATTTCCCCATTTTTAACTTCAATAAAGTGATCTCACAATCCTTCAGGATGGAGGAGACTTGGTGCGCATATACCACCCTTTATTTTTTGAGACAGGGCTTCTCTGTGTAACCCTAGTTGGCCTGGAACTGGATACATAGACCAGGCCAGCCTCAAACTCCCTGAGATCTACTTGCCTCTACCTCCCTGGTACTGGGATTAAAAGCCACCACACCTAGCTTTTTAAATGTGTTTTGTTTTCTTTTTCTTTTTTAAGATTTATTTATTTATTATGTATACAGTATTCTGTCTGCATATGTGCCTGCAGGCCAGACAAGGGCATCAGATCTCATATAGATGGTTGTGAGGTGCCATGTGGGTGATGGGATTTGAACCCGGGTCCTCTGGAAGAGCAGGCAGTGCTCTTAACTGCTGAGCCATCTCTCCAGCCCTGTTTTTGTTTTGTTTTGTTTTTGTTTTTCAAGACAGGGTTTCTCTGTATTTTTGTAGGCTGTCCTGGAACTAGCTCTTGTAGACCAGGCTGGTCTCGAACTCACAGAGATCCACCTGCCTCTGCCTCCTGAGTGCTGGGATTAAAGGCATGTGCCACAATCGCCTGGTGCTTTTTTTAATTTTAATTTTTTTATTTTTAGATGGTGTAGAAGTTTGAATGAAAGTGGCCCCATAGAGCTGGGGGCAGTGTGGTGCACATCTTTAATCTTAAAACTCAGGAGGCAGAGGCCAACAGATCTCTGAGTTCAAGGCCAGCCTGGTCTACAGAGCAAGTTCCAGGACAGTCAGACCTACACCAAGAAACTGTCTCAAAAAAGGAAAAGAAAAGAAGAAAATAGCCACACAGGCTCATGGAGAGTGGCTCTATTAGGAGGTGTGGCCTTGTTGAAGTGGGCGGGGTTTTGTTGGACACAGTTGGTTACTGGGAGAGGCTTGCAGGTCTCAGAAGCTCAAGGTTGGCCAGTGTGTCTCTGCCAGAGGACCAGATGTAGAACTTTCGGCTACCTGTCCAGCGCCATGTCTGCCTGCCTGCCGCCACACTTCCGCATAATGCACTAAACCACTGAACTGTGGGCAAGTCCCAGTTAAATGCCTTCCTTTGTAAGAGTTGTCTCTTCACAGCAACAGAACCCTAATTAAGACAGGTGGAGTCTCATTATATTGCCCAAACTGGCCTTAGACTTCTGCTATCAGCCCCCTGTCTCAGTCTTCTGAATGTTAAAACTGAAAGTGAGCTCCACCAAACCCAGACGGTGGTTAGCTTATCCTGTATCCCCCCTTCCCCTTCCTGCCCCCCCAACCTCAAGACCACTTGGCCCTAGGAGGTGCTCAGGAGTGGCTTCCAGATTTCAGGACTTGATTCTAGAAGCAAGGGGAAAGGCAAGAGAGTCATTAAAGAGTGAAGGGACAGCGGGACCCGGGAAGCTGATACCTTGAGATTGGACAGCTGCCCAAAGTTCTTGCCACACTCATTGCACTCGTACAGGATTTTACCATTCCTTTTCTTCAGAGGGTAGGGCAGGGTTACGACGCCGGCCTGGGAGCCTGGCTGCTTTGCAGGAGCTGCCACAACAGCCTGTCCTGGGGAGAAGGTTGAGGTATCTCTAGCACTCTGACCCCTGACCCGGGAGCATAGGGTGTGTCGGGCACTCTGGAAAGCCCCCGAGGAGAGAAGCAGGGGCTTCTCCTGGGTGATGTGGAGCCCAGCTTCATTGGCTGTCATAAGCAAGCTGGGTGGGGCCACAGTGGGGTGTGAGGGGCCTGGGGGCAGCGTGAAGAGGTGTGGACATTGGGCAGAAGGTAGGGTCGCATAGGTGAATAGATAAGGGGGAGGCAGGAGAAGTGGGTACCCAGAGAAGACTGGGTAGGCATGGATAGGGAGTTCCTCGGAGATGGCAGTGGGAGGAAGCCAGGGCCAAAAGGTTGAGGGACTGGGGCTCTTTCTGTCCATCCTGAGGTCTGGGGAGGAGCTGGTGTGAGGAGGGAGGGGTAGGCAGGAGCCTCTATCCAGCTGGTTCCCCGTCTCATCTCTGTTCAGTGAGTCCTTGGCAGTGGGTTTCTCAGTGTGCATAGAGTCTTCATGCAGGTCTGGTGACTGGAGCCCTAACCCGGAAAGGAAAGGAGATTAGGCCGCACAGTCTGGACTCAACATCTGTTCTCTCCTAAGCCTGCCTAGAACCGGCAAGATAATGAGGCAAATTGGGCTGGGCACTTCCCTCTGGGACTCAGTTTCCCCAGTGCTACCAAGCCTGAAATAAAAGCTTCCAGGATGCAGGAAGCACCTGAAAACTTCAGGGAGAAAAAACTGTATATGCAGCCCACTAGACATGAGGGAGAGGGTCAAGTGCACAGCTTACCACATGGGGAGGAGAGGCCAAGTGTGCAGATAGGTAAACTCAAGGTTAAGGGAAAGGTCCCAGATTAAATATATAAATTTGGGTGCCATGGGGGAGTTGATTATCTGCTTGGACCCTATTATTTCCTCAATCAAAAATTATTTTTTGAAGAGGCCGGAGAGATGACTCAGTGGTTGAGAGCACTGGCTGCTCTTCCAGAGGACCCAGGTTCAATTCCCAGCAACCTCATGGCAGCTCACAGCTATCTGTAACTCCAGTTCCAGAGCATCTGATACCTTCACACCAATGAAGACATAAAAGAAACATTGAAAACATCTTTTTTGAAACAGGATCTTTCTGTTATGCAGCCCTGACTGTCCTGGGAGTTGCTGTGTAGATGAGGTTGGCCTCCAAATCAGAGATCCACCGGCCCCTGCCTCCCAAGTGCTGGGATTAAAGGTGTGCACCACCACACCTGGCTCCTTCAGTCAGTTTTAAGGTGCTGTTTCACTCTGTGTTCTATGCTAGGGTCCTGCTTTGGGCCCCAAAATAAAACACTGAGCAGGTCAGTTCCTGTCGTCCAGGAGGCCTCAGAGTTTTCCAGTACAACAAACCTAGAACAGCTGCAAAGGAGACCATGCCTCTATGGACAAGCAGGGCAGCGGATGTGCCTGAAGGTGGGGAACTCGAAAGGACAGAGGTCGGACTCAAAGCCCAGTGTGATCCCCAGTCCAGGGCTCCTGCCATCTATCTTTGTTTTGCTTTATTTTTTGAGACAGGGTTTCTCTGTGTAGCTCTGTAGACCAGGCTGGCCTCGAACACACAGAGATCCGCCTGCCTCTGCCTCCTGAGTGCTGGGATTAAAGGCGTGTGCCATCAAGCCCATCTGAGCTATCTGTCTCAGGCAAGGACAGCGGGACCACTGAGGCTTGCTGGCCACCAAGCCTACCTCCGGGTCCAGTGAGAGACACTGCCTCGAGGGACTAAGGCAGAGACTGAGAGGGTAGGACTGTGAACACCCTCCCTCTGGCCTCCACATGGGTGTGTGGCCTACAGTTACATACATACACACGTGCACACACACCACATACACATGCACACACAAAAATTAATTGGCCATAATAAACATTTACACTAAAAAAAGTAGACAAGGAATTGGCTCAGTAGATGAGACACTTGTTACCCAGCCTGTCAACAGGAGTTTGATATCCTGGGTCCATGTGGCAGAAGGACAGAGCTGACTTTTGCAAGGTGTCCTCTGACCTTCACACGAGTGTCCAAACACATAACTAACTAACTAAATGCTGAATCAAAGCCTGCTTTAGCTCGAACATTCCAGGCCTACAGTGTTACCTCCACCTTGATGATTGGCTACACCAGCTGCCTGTCTTGAAAGGTCATGGGCAACTCTGGCCAGAACCCCAACATTAAATGAGATAAGAAAGTATGCCTGGGGCTCTATACTCATTAGTGACACACAGGTCCCAGTCCCTTCCCCATCCCCAAACCTGTGTCCCCTTCAACCCACCAACAAAGCTCTCAGGTCCAACCCCAGGCCCCAGACTCACTCATATTTGAGGCGTCCTCTCTGAGCCCCTGTGGGGTCATGCCCAGGAATGTCTTCTGCAGGCCATAAGGGTGTAGGTCTGAGCCTTGTGGATATGCCCATAAGGAAGATTTAGCTGGTGCCAGAGGCAAGGGACACATCCAGTTGGCCCAGGACAGGTCATGAGTATCCATTGTGTTTGGAAGTGGCCGAGAAGAGTTGGCTGAGGAGGCCTAGGAAGCAGGAGAAAGGCTTGAGGGTCCAGGACTGGTTGTCTCTGGCATAGGCTCACCCCTGGTTTGGTTTCCAAAGGTAAGAAGCTAAGCTATGGACACCCACTCACCGTGTCTTTCAGTCAAATGGCTCCCTTCCCTCCTACAACTGTTTCTTTGTCCAAGGGCTTTTTTCATTGACCCTAGACTATCTCCTCTTCCCTATACGGCTTGCCCCATTCTCCCTCCACACCCCTACTTCTGATCACCCTGGTGTCATCTGTTGTGTTGTTCTGGATAGGACCAAGATAAACTTGGGGGGAATCCTCATCCAAGACTGCAAAGACCACAGGATGCTTCTGAGCCCCCACTAAAGTCCAAGGCCATGGTCACCCACACATTCTGCGTGGCCTTTCCCTCTTCTTACCTTTAGGACAATCTGAGTCCCTGAAGCATATACACAGGGCCTCTGGCACCTCTGCCCAGCCCATTCAAGCATTCCACCCTTCCTCTTAATTGGGCAGGCATTTTCAGAGAGAAGGGCATGTCCCATACTACCTGGTCATCTTGACAGAGCTGGAAGCCCAGAGCCTTTGTATTGTGGTAACAACCCAACCAGGCGGCTGGTGTTCCCTTCAGGCTCCCACTACCAGACGGGGAGATGGGAGTCAAAGGGAGCTGTAAAGGCTGGGTTCCAGCACTGGCACACTCACTGTGAGGAGAGGCTGGAAGCAGGTCGCTTTCTTCCTGGCCTCGGAGTCTCTACATGAGAAGCCGAGGGCTAGGGACTGCAGATGGGGCTCAGTTGGTAGAGTACACGCCTTGGGTTCCATCTCAGCCACACATAAACTGTAATCCCAGCACCCGGAAGATAGAGGAGGGAGGATCGGGACTATAAGGACATCCATGGCTATACAGGGAGGTCAAGGCTATTAAGACCTTGTCTCAAATAAAAGTAAAGAGAAATGGATATGGTCCTAGCCAATGTGTGACAAACTGTCTTAGTCCTGCCATGTAGAAGCTAATGACACTTCCCTGGAAGGTGTAGAAAGGATATTAAATGAGGAGCAAAGCCCTTATGGGGGCTCTGGGGGAGCATTCTAGATCCCTTGAGACCATCGAGAATTGGGGAGCCTGCCTTTTCCATAGAGAACGGGACCATAGCAACCAGAGGCTCCCACCACCCAGGCTCACCTAGGTAGCTTTTCTGGGAAACATTGGGGTCTTGGGAACCTTGGCTCTTCCAGGGTCAACTCCCTCAGCAGGGGTGAGTTCCTAGAGAGGGAGAGGCCCCAGGTACCACCTGCCTAGCCTGACAAGAAGGTGTCCCAGTGTTTAGACAGCTGCCAGTCAGCACCCTGCTGCTCTTCAGTCTTCATCTGAGGCCACACAATACATAGATCAACTTAGCCAGGCAACTGCCACCTCACCCCTCCCCCTCCCGCCCTAAGTGGATCCAAATGCCCCTCAGACTCTAAAATCCTCAACCCAGTGTCTCAGCCCCCGCCCAACACCCTGCTCTTTCCCTCTCCCCAGCCTTGCCTTAGGTCTCAAATACCGTGTCCTAGAAGGCACCGGCTGGACATGTGGGCTCTTCACCTGGTTCTACAGCAGCCGTCTCTGGCTGGGCAGGATGGAGGTTGGGCAGACGGGCAGCAGTGCCTGTGTCTAAGCCATCCCCTGGGGGGGGGTGAAAAATGACAGGAAGATGCAACACGTTTGAAGTTGCCTTAAATGGGCTTCCAGGAAAGAAAGAGCCGTTCAGAAGAGGGTGCCAGGCCCCTTTGGTTCTAAAGCATAATCTCGTTTGGATTTTTTTCTTTTTTTGAAACACGGTCTCAGCCAGGCAGGGGTGGCACAGTGACTTTTAATCCCAGCACTCAGGAGGCAGAGGCTGGTGGATCTCTGTGAGTTCAAGGTCAGCCTGGTCTACAAATCGAGTTTCAGGACAGACTCCAAAGTCGCAGAGAAACCCTGTCTTGAAAAACAAATAAACAAACAACAAAAAGCAAAAACAAAAAAAAAAGTTTTCATATTATTGTATGTGTATGGTGCCCTGCCCACACAAATGCCTGTGCGCCTTGTATGTGCAGTGCTCATGGAAATCACATGCCATGAGTGTGCAGTGCTCGTGGAAGTCACACACTATGTGTGTGCAGTGATCATGGAAATCACATGCCATGAGTGTGCAGTGCTCATGGAAAGTCACTCGCCATGAGTGTGCAGTGCTTGTGGAAAGTCAGATGAAGGCATCAGATCTCATGTAGGTGTTGGGACTTGAACTCAGGTCCTATGGAAGAGCATCCAGCACACTTAACCTCTGAGCCATCTCTCCAGCCCCAACCACTACCACCCGATTCTATTTCTTGCCTTGTTTGTTTTGGGTTTGGTTTGGCTTTTCAAGACAGGGTTTCTTTGTGTAGCCCTGGCTGTCCTGGAACTCTGTCCTTGAACTCACAGAGATCTGCCTGTCTCTGCCTCCTGAGATCTGAGATTAAAGGTGTGAGCCACCACGGCCCTGCCTTTTTCTTGCTTATTGTACAAAACTTTTATTAACTTTTTTTTTTTTTCCAGACAGGGTTTCTCTGTGGCTTTGGAGGCTGTCCTGGAACTAGCTCTTGTAGACCAGGCTGGCCTGGAACTCACAGAGATCCACCTGCCTCTGCCTCCCGAGTGCTGGGATTAAAGGCGTGCGCCACCAACGCCCGGCTGGAGTCCTCGAATTTTTTTAGACTTATTTCTATTACTTTTAACTATGTATGTGTGTGTGCAGGTATGTCATACCTGCAGGTGAGCAAGGTCCCTGAGGAGACCAGGAGCATCCCCACTGGAACTGGATTTACAGCTAGTTGAGAGGCACCCAACATGGACACTGAGAACAGGAAGTGCTCTTAATCCTTGAGCCATCTCTCCAGCCCCTAAATTTTGATGTTAAGCTGTGTGTGCAATTATAAGATGCATGTCATCTCTCTTTCTCCAGCCCGGTGACTGTGCCTCTCTCTTGGTTCATGCTGTGCCCCTGCACACTGTCTCCTACTCTCTCCTGACTGGGAAGTGAACCTTTGCCAAGGTGTGCGTGACTCCTGTATGGCGTTCCCTATTGGTGGACACAGAGGTCACAGAGGTGAAGCTGCGTGTATGGCGTTCCCTATTGGTGGGCACAGAGATGCAGCTGTAATAGCCCCCAGAGTCAACATGTGGAGTTGTTAATCCAGCTCTGCTAGGCCCCATCCAGCTGGGTGACTTCCCCATAAATCCCCTGATCTCTCTTGTTTCTTCATCAACCAATCTCCACCTCAAGGAGCTTTGTCCAGGACTCCTCAAAATAATCAGTGTCAAGCCTCTAGGATGGGCCAGGCCCACAGCAAGCACTTGGAAGGAGTGAGTCGCTGTGAGGGTTTTACATCACCCTTTGTCTTGTCAGGCAGTGGCCCAAGACAGTTGCCCATCAGGGTCCCGTGGGCAGGACTGCATGCACTTGGGTAGACTGAGTTCTGTTTTATGGCTTTGTTCATTAACCCTCTCCTGGCTGGAGCAGACATGTAGGACATGATTCTAAGGTCTGGGCTAAGGGGGCTCCCCACCAGTTCTGTGGTTGACACCTCCTTCCCTCTGCCTGACACCTTCTTGCTTATCTCTTAGGACAGCCCAGCTGTCAGTCTGTCAGATGCTCTGAGTGGGCCCTGACTTCACACCCCAGGGTGAGGAAGAGATCTTGAGATAGGGTGTTCCGCTCTCACATTTGCAGAGGGGCATGCAGCGGCTTGCATCCTTCCCCTGCACCCTCGGCCACTTTCCATTCCCTCTGGGTGCAAAAGTCCAACCATGTCTTCCAAGGTCATCCCCCCCAAGCCTCTCGTTCCAGCCATCCCGAAGGGTTGGAAACAAAAGGCCGAATTGCTAGGACTCAAGCCCCGCCCCCACCACGTTCTCTTGCATGCATGTGAATGTCTGTAGTGCGCACGCACAAGTATTCACATATCACAAGTATACACACACTCACACTTCTGTGTGCAGGTGCAAACGTGCCTTTGTGGAGGTCTGAGGCTGACATCCAGGGAGCCTTCTTCGACTGCTCTCCATTACTTACTTAAGCAGGTTTTCTCAATTAAGCCCAGAGGTTTAGGATATGGCTAGTCCACAAGCCAGCTCACTCCAGGGAATCCCCCAGCTCCACCTCCCCAGATTTGGGATTATGTAACTGGGAGGCCCCACTCTTTCACACAAGTGCTTACCCACTGAGCCATTCCCCCCACATCCCCCAAAAAGCTAACACACTCTTAGCCACTAGGAAGCATGGCCTACCATGTGTGTGATGTCCTCTCTAGCCCATGTGGAATGGGGAAAAACACGAGTCCACATCTATATCCACCAGAGAAGGAATGCAGTGTAAAATGGACATTTATGCACTACACATAGAGAGAGTTCACCTCTCTATCCACCAGAGAAGGAAAGCAGTATAAAATGGACATCTGTGCACCAGATGATGCTACAGGCAGGAAGAAGCAGTGCACTTACGGGCGCCTCCCTCCTATACGCCAGAGCTCTGCAGTCAGTCATCTCACATAATGGCCTTGATCGTGGTTGATGGTAACAACTATTAATGTCCCCGTTTCACAGCTCAGCAACCAAGAGTGAGGTCCAGCAGAGAGCTTCAGCTGGAGGAGTGGTGAGGCAGCCCAAGAGTAAGCGAAATGAACTGCACCTAACATTCAGTCTTGGTGACAAGGCTACAGCAGGGAGTCACAGCTCAGAGCAGGGACTGCTCTTGGAAATGGAACGTTGCACCATAATTAGAGACCAGTGCTGCCAAGGTCTTCATTGTTATAGAAAATAGGAAGATCACAGTTTTTATGGGAAAAACCTCTTTGTTTTGCATCTTTGTTTTTGTTTTTTGGAACAAGGTTTCTGTGTGTAGCCTTGGTTGTGCTAGAACTTGTTTACAGACCAGGCTGGCCTCAAACTCATAGAGATCCACCTGAACCTTCTGTCTATTGTCTTCAAAAGCTGGACTGTGGTGGCGCACGCCTTTGATCCCAGCACTCAAGAGGCAGAGGCAGGAGGATCTCTGTGAGTTCGAAGCCAACCTGGCCTACAAAGTGAGTTCCAGAACAGCAGGGCTACACAGAGAAACCCTGTCTTGAAAAACAAAACAACAACAAAAATCTTCAAAGATTCTTCCAAAACACAAATGGAAACACTTTATAACAGTCTGTAAAATTAATGATATCCTGATCCTTAAAACCCAAGACACAGGTGGGCATGGCAGTGTAGTGTACACTTTAAATTAAAAAAAAAAACTTGGGTGTTCAAGACAATTGGAGGCACTGTTAGTGGCCAATGTATTTCTCTATCTTTTAGAATATTTTTATCTGATATGTATGGGTGTTTTGCCTGCCTGTATATCACTTGAGTGCCTGGTACCCATGGAGGCCAGAAGAGAGCTTTAGATTCCCTGGAATTGGGCTCCTGCAGGACTGTGAGCCATTGTGTGGATGCTGGGAATCAAACCTCTGAAAGAGTAATTAGTGTTCTTAACCACTGAATTGTCTCTCAAGCCACACCTCCCACGCTGGTTGTGTGTGTGTGTGTGTGTGTGTGTGTGTGTGTGTGTCTGTGTGAGTGAGAGAGAGAGAGAGAGAGAGGGAGGGAGAGGGAGAGAGGGAGAGAGAGGGAGAGAGGGAGAGAGACAGAGACAGAGAGAGAGACAGAGACAGAGACAGAGACAGAGACAAAGAGACAGAGAGGGAGAGAGAGAGAGGGAGAGAGAGAGGGAGAGAGAGACAGAGACAGAGAGAGAGACAAAGAGACAGAGAGGGAGAGGGAGAGGGAGAGAGAGATAGGGAGAGAGGGAGAGAGGGAGAGAGACAGAGACAGAGACAGAGAGGGAGAGAGGGAGAGAGAGAGAGAGAGGGAGAGAGAGAGAGCCAAGCTCTGAAGCCCTAGTTGGCCTAGAACTCACAAAGATTGTCCTGCTTCTGAAAGGCTTGTGTCACCATGCCTGACTTTGTTCCCCAGACTTTGATCCCCCGCCCCTGCCCCAGAGCCCTGGCTGGACCAGAGTTCCCCCTGTAGCCGAGAAGGACCTTTAGCGTTCTGGCACCTCCACTTCCCAAGTGCTGGGATACAGGCACACACCACCACAGCAGGCTTAAGCACTGCCTATCCTGCCCAGCTAACAGTCTCTTTTTGATCTAAACCCCCGGGTAGGAGTAGCTTAGTGGCGGACCACTTGCTGGGCTGATTCAAGCTCCCCAGTCCAGTCTTCAGAATCATTAAAAAAATGAAAGAAAGAAAAAGTGAGCACAGTCAGGGAAGTAGAGCAGAGGTGACCTATTAACCTCGAGGGCTCACCTTTAGGGGCCCGGTGGCCAGGCAGTTGGTGCCAGTACCCAGCTGCGAAATACCCAGCTACAAGAGGCTCTCAAGCTTTGAGCAGCGTGAGGAACGGCTCACAACTGTCTGTAACCCCAGCTCCAGAGGATCGGACACCCTCTTCCGGCACCAGAGGCTCACATGGTGCACAGACACACATGCAGGCAAGACACCCACACACACAAAACAGGAAAGTAACAAAGCAATAAAAAACCAAAATAATGTAGCGTTAGGCAGAACCAACAGAGGGCCCACTGTCTAAATTCGCCTTTGTAACAGATGCCTAGAGTGCGTGCCTTCGGTGGGAGCTGAAGAAGGGTCATGAACTCCAGTCACCCAAGTCTCCTATATAGTGAGACTCTATCTCCAGACCAATCAACAAAGACAAGTAAACAAAACCCAAAGCTGTGTCCCTCCCTGGGACCAGCCAGTGGGAAAGGTGGCCTTGAAGAGAATGTGGTGATGGTATCTGCTGTGACAGTTGAGTTAGGATGGCACTTGGAGATGACCAACCCTTCCCTGAAGGCAACGATCATGGTACAGCAAGACCAGCTGTGTATAATAGTGTTCATTATTCATATCATTTTCCAGAACATTTTAAAAGAAGAGGCCTGGGGAGTTGGCTCAGTAGGTAGGAAAACTTGCTGCTCATCCAGAGGTCCTGGGCTTGATTCCCAGCACCAACCTGACATCAGTTACTCCAGCTCCAGGGGACCTGATGGCCTCTTCTGACATCTGCTGCCATTACCAGGGCGTCGTCCCCTGACAAGACAGCAATGCTGGTGTGGGCAAACGAAGAGCAGATAAACCTCTCCGTGATGGTTTCAGGGAACAGCACAGATAAACCTCTCCGCGATCGTTTCAGGGAACAGCGGCTGCTCTATCTCACATGAGTAACCACTGATACAGTGGAGACGCCATCGGCCTATGGACCTGGGATTGGGCAGTCAGACCACCAGGGTCTCTGTGGAAGACGCACACTGAAGAGACCTGGGGACCACAGGCCAGCTGCTGGCTGCTCAGGCTACTTCAGAATTCAGTGTTCTGACTTTAGGTGCGTGGTGTGCCATGACTCTTATTCAGAAGTGCAGTGTGCCAGCCAGGTAGGCTGGCCACTAGGTCATGCCTGCATTTTCTCCTACAGACATCCATGGGCGCCACGAGGTCATGCCTGCAGGTATGCACGTGGTCCACAGACATCCATTAGACAAAAAAAATAACTAAAATTAATTAGACACATAAAATTAAATAAATCTTTATTTTAAAAAAAGCTAAGAGAGGGGGAGGGGAGGGAGTGAGGGGGCCAGAGACAGAGAAGCATGCACCCAATTTCATGAATGAAGTTCCTGGGAACATTTTGGAAAATTCTGGATTCCATAGATTCCCGGTTGAGAAGTAACTCGGGGCAAAAATAGAGGAAGCAAGGTAGAACAGGCACATCTTGATTCTAGTCTCTCTCTGACCTTAATGTGCCATAGGGGTGTCTTGAGATGACTTGCTTGGTTTTCACACCTTAAAATGGGGGACAAGAGAGACAGACAAGATGCTCACAGTCGAGCTTGAAGATCTGAGTTCGATCCCCAGAACTGCAAGATAGGAGCGCACTGACTCCTTCAAATTGTCCTCTGACCTCCCCACTCGTGCTGTGGCACACTCGAATGAGTGTGCCTGCACACGCATCCCTCACAGGCTCACATACTAAATAAATGTTAAAAAATGGGGACAAGGATGAGGAGACCTACTCTTCAGCACCCACTTAGAGAAAGCCTGCTGGGAAGGGAACATTCACACCTCTGACATTCACCCTGACTCCGGTCCCACTTGGTCCTGGTAAAGCAGGAACCTTATTCTCCAACCCCTCCACCACCAGCTTCTCCTGAGCGAGACAGCTGGGCTTCTGGTCTGTGGTTTCCCTCAACTCCGTAGAGCATCTGTGGGGGCAGCAAGGTGGGAATCTTTGAAAGAGTTGTGGTAGGCCAAGGGAAGGTGTCACCTCCCTAAATAGCCTCTGAGGAAAGAGTGGTAGCCACTCTGAAGCAGACTCTCACCACCCCCACTTCCCCCAGAAGTTCCCAAGAAAAATAGTCTTGATCCAAAAATCATAAGTCCTCGTGCATAGACTGGAGTCATGCCCAGAGTCTAGAGAGTCCACCGGGTCTGGGGGGAATCAGGGAGCAGGGTGAGGAGGGGGCAAGGGTAATATCGTGAAGCTGTCTTAGGCCTGGAGGTGGTGGTGCACACCTTTAAACCCTGCACTTGGGAAGCAGAGGCCGATGAAACTCTGTGAATTCAAGGCCAGCCTGATCTACAGAGCAAATTCCAGAACAGCCAGGGCTACACAGAGAGACCCTGTCTTGAAATACCAAACAAGGAAAAAAAAGACAGAGAGAAAGAGAAAAAAAAAAAAAAACAACAACAAAACCCTCAGCACACCTCCACTGTCTGAGTCTATGCAATCTTCTCTCCATCTTCAGGAAGTTGGGCCTCACCACTGCCTGCTGCCTCCCACCTCCCTGCATCCTCCAGGCTCCCACTCCCTCTCAGAGCAGCTCAATTTCCAGCTTCAGCTCCCTTTGGACTTCCCCTCTGCTTCCTTCCCAGCACACCCAGGCCAGGTTCAGTTCTGTCTGTGTCCATCCTCGGACCCTGGCAGATGCCTCTGTTAACTCATTAACGGCACATACCTGAAAACTAAGTCTAGCTCTGACCACATAAGAACGGTTCACAGGACTGGTCACACCCAGTAAAGGAGAAAAGCCCCAGCCCTGACTGTCTGGCTGTGTGCCAAGCACAAGCTAACTTCTTACAGCTGTTGCCCTGTTCCCTCAACAACTGCTTCAGAGCCCTTCCGGCTGATAGGCTTGTGTCAGGTGATCTGTGGGCGCATCCTCCCAAATTTGGCTCTCACTATTTTTTTTTAAGATTTATTTATTTATTAATACAACATCTTGCTTCCATGTATGTCTGCATGCCAGAAGAGGGCACCAGATCTCATTACAGATGGTTGTGAGCCACCATGTGGTTGCTGGGAATTGAACTCAGGACCTCTGGAAGAGCAGTCAGTGCTCTTAACCTCTGAGCCATCTCTCCAGCCCGGATCCCGCTTTCTATCATCAGAGGTCCTGACTTGGGACCACTTAGAGTGGTAGGATGCAAAAAACAAAAGAAACAAAAACAAATCAAAGAAAGATGAGGACATGTCATAAGACCCAAGAACCAGTTGGATAGATCTGGGACAGTCTAAACATCAGATACCTGACAGTGGTTTGTGGGTGGTGCTCAGTGGTAGAGCACTTACTTAGCATGCATGAGGCCCTGGGTTTGATCCCTCATACCTTAAAATAGATAAATGAATAAAGGATGAGTTAATGATGACCCTCATGAAAAAAGGGAATTCATGAATGCATTTTGATACAACAGCAGAGATAGGAAATGCTTCTTTCAATACATATAGAGGGAGAATGTATCTAGAAAACCACCAAGCTGTGTCTATGCATCTGAGGGCAACATGGGTAACTTGAGGAAGTCACATCTAGAAAGAGAGAGAGAGAGGTGGGAAAAGGGGGAAATGAGAGAGAAAGGGCAAGGAAGAGGAAGAGAAAACAAATCACCATTTGTTAACCATTAGAAAAGAGTCATTGGCCAGGCGGTGGGGGCGCACACCTTTAATCCCAGCATTCGGGTGGCAGAGGCAGGTGGATCTCTGTGAGTTCGAGACCAGCCTGGTTTACAAGAGCTAGTTCCAGGACAGCCTCCAAAGCCATAGAGAAACCCTGTCTTGAAAAACCAAAAAAAAAAAAGAAAAAAAAGAAAAAGAAAAAAGAAAAAAGAAAAAAGAAAAAAAAAAAGTCATTGGGGCCAGAGAGATCGTTCAGTGGTTAAGAGTACAGGCTGCTCTCCCAGAGGACCCAGGTTTAATTCCCAGCACCCACATGGCAGCTCAAAACTGTCTGTGACTCCAGTTCTAGGGGATCTGACACCCTCACATAGACATACATGCAGGCAAAACACCAATGTGCATAAAAACAATGAAATCTTAAAAAACAAAACAAAACTCGTTACTCAATTAACCAGGTGGTGGTGCTGCATGCCTTAATCCCAGCACTCTGGGAGCCAGAGGCAGATGGATCTCCAAGAGCTCAAGAGTTCAAAGCAGCATGGTCTACAAAGAAAAAAGAAAGAGAACTCACTGAAACAGAAGTCTAGAGAGCTGGCCCAGTGGTTAAAAGGCTATGCGATTTTGCGGACCAGAGCACTTCAGATCTCGGCACCCACCTGACAAGCTAGGTGTGCCATTACTGCCTGCAACTCCAGCTCTGAGGACCCCACATTTGCCTCTGTGTGTGCATGAGCAAGCATGCTCACTCAGATACACACACATAAATAAAACATGAAAAATACCATATTTGAAAAACGTTTAGTGAGAAACAGGACTCTTACATAGTTGTCAATGACTGTCCCTATAAAATACTTAATTACCCCCCATGGCTATGGCTCACACATTTAATCCCATCACTCAGGAAACAGAGACAGGTGGATCTCTGAGTTCGAGACTAGCCTGATCTCTAGAGTGAGTTCCAGGGACAGTCATGGCTACACAGAGAAATACTGTTTGGGGAAGAAAAGAAAAAGATGCTTAATTACAAAGGAGTAATAGTGGTCTTGTCCTGGAGAAAGCTGGCAAACACCACCTCAAACATGTGACTCAAATTTCACATCTTCTCTAATGAAACAAAGTGACATCATGTACCACTTGTGTGTAGGAAAAAATATGTATCACTTTTGTGATATTCTTGCCAACAATGAATAATTTGAATCTAATTATGAAGAAACAGCAGACAAATCTAAATTAAAGGACACTCAGTCATGGTCTTCTTACAGAAGACCCGAGTTCAGTTCCCAGCCCCTGCAGGGTGGCCCACAACCATCTGTAACTGCAGTTCCAGGAGATCCAATGCCCTCTTCCGGCACCGTGTACATGGTGTACAGAATAGATGGAGGCCAAATGTCCATACACTTTGAGTACAAATAAATCTTTACTTTTAAACAAACTATTTTATTTTATGTCTATGAGTGAGATATGTACCATGTTCATGCCTGGTGCCTGCAGAAGTCAGAAGAGGCCGTCACTGAGGGAAGTCAGGACAGAAACCCAAGACCAGAACCTGAATCAGAAAAGCAAGGAGAAAGGGGTTGCTGCTGGCTGGTTCACTCACAGCTTCATGTGTGGTGATATTTATGACTTATTAAAGTTTACCTGAGGATTCAGAAAGCAAAGTCAGCCACAAGCTATGGAGCTCAGGAGGTGGTGGCACACACCTTTAATCCCAGGACTCAGGAGATAAAGGCAGACGGATCTCTGTTCAAGGCCACCCAGAGATACAATAGAGTGAATCAGTCTAAAAGAAAAGCAGAGCTCATGCCTTAACCCCAGGACTCAGGAGAGGTATTTAAGACAGGAACAGGGTCTCAGTCTCAGGCATTCATTCTCCAGCCATGCTGAGGAGAGGCAGCAGGATCAGCCCATTCCACCTGAGGTAGTGGTGAGAGCTAGTGGCCAGCTACTTTGCTTTTCTGATCTGCAGCTTGAAGTTTGAACCCCAATATCAGCCTCTGGGTCTTTTGTGTGTGTGTGTGTGTTACATTCATGTTTAGCTAGAATTCTTTTGTTTCTCTTTTCTTTTTTCTTTCTTTTCTGTTTTTTTCTTTTTGTGTAGTTTGGCTGTGCTAGGAATTCACTTTGTAGACCAGTAGCAGCCTTGGCCTCTTTGCAGACCAGGCTGTCTTTGAACTCACAAAGATTGCCCTGAATGCTGGCTGGGATTAAAGGCGTGGGCCACTACTCTGCTTTAGCTAGATTTCTTATACAGTCCAGGATCACCTGCCCAGAGTGTTCCAGGCTCCCCTATATCAATTAGCTTGATCAACACTATTTCCTATAGACATGTCCACTGGCCAATGTGATCTGGCCTCAGCTGAGACTCCCTGCTGGGCTGTGTCAAATTGACCACTAACTAGGACAGATGGACAGCAGCTGAGTCTCCACACAGACTTACTGCCCCCCAGGGAACCTAGGCTAAGGTGTAACTTGGTGGAAAATGTACGTACTTAACAGGTAGAAGAAGGTCAAAGTCAATCTGAGCTGCACTGTGAGACTGTGCCCACCCTTAATAAAGCCGAAGATGGTATTTTTCCAAAGGGAGAGGACCTGAGGAGATAGCCAAAGGTGGTAAGAGCACTTGCTGTGCAAACATAAGCCTTGAGTTTAAATCCCAAGTACCCACATCCTAGCTGGGCATGCATGCCTCTCACCGCAGCGCTGGGAAACAGAAAGAGGTGGATCTCTGGAACTCCCTCACGCCAGCCTGGCGAGCTTTGGGCTCAGTAAGAGACTCAGGAGTGAAGCAGGATGAAATAAAGGAAGATACCAATGCCTTCTTCTGCTCTCCCACAGGCACACACACACAGACACCATACACACACAGACACCATACACACATACATACCATACACACATACAGACACACACACACACCATACATACCATACACACACGGACACCATACACACATACAGACACACACACACCATACATACCATACACACACATGGACACCATACACACATACAGACACACACACACCATACATACCATACACACACATGGATACCATACACACATACAGACACACACACACCATACATACCATACACACACAGGGACACCATACACACAGACACTATATACACATATATACACACAGACACAGACACACACAAACAGAGACATACACACACACACCATACACATACATACACACACTGACACATGGACATGTGGACACACACATGGACACCATACATAGACACACAGATACCATACGAACATAGACACATGAACACACACAGAAACACACACGACATACCAAAATAGCTGGGCAGTGGTGGCCCATACCTTCAATTCCAGCACTCAGAAGGCAGAGGCAGGCGGATCTCTGAGTTTGAGACCAGCCTGGTCTACAAGAGCTGGTTCCAGGACAGCCTCCAAAACCACAGAGAAACCCTGTCTCGAAAAACAAAACAAAACAAAAAAGCTGAAAATACCACAAATATCAAAAATAACATAAATACGTAACATGGCACTGTCAAATATTACAAAAAATATTTCTGATTGGCACACCGATATGCTGTTTTCCGAGTCTTTAGCTGCTGGCTAGCTATCTACACATTAAATTTCCAGTAGTAATGAAAATGTTATTCAAGCACAGCCCCCATTCCTCCCAGGAAGGAGGGCCAAAGCTGGCTTTGAGAACACCTCTGACCCACTCACTTCCTGAGGGCGGGGTTTATGGTACTTGGTTACTCTAGGAAAGCCCCCAAGATCTGCGGAGGGGGGAGCAACGGCCAAGAAAAATAAATAGTGAAAAGTTGAGGGTCTTGGTGTCCCAGCCATAGTACAAGAGGATTCTGCACAGGAATGGTTAAGTCTCTGACCACAGCTGAATTTAATTCAGCCTTACCAGGCTTTGCCCACCCACCCCCATTCCCCATACTCGCCCATCTTGCCCCACACGCAAGGGGACCCAAATCTTTCCTGCCTCAGGGTCTTTGCAAACTGTTCCTTCTGCCTGACCCCTCCCAGCACACAAGCACGTCATCTTCATCGCCGTCACCTTCTTCGCCACCTTCCACTTGGTCCAGAGATAGGCATCCGGTAAGTCTCCGTTTCTCAGGAGCTTTGTACGGTTGGTTCCCTATCCCTAACATTAAATCGCACTGCTTAGTCACTCGCTGTCATCCTACCCTGCACGTGCCACGAGGTCTGGGACTTTGTGTGTCTTTTTGTGCTTGTGTTTTTCCAGTCCGCGCACAGTGCCTGGCACACAGTGGCACGCAAACATTTTCAAATGAAATGAATGAACAAAGGACCTGGTGGCTAAGGGACGGAGCCACGTGGGGAAAGAGCGCCCCCTGCTGGGCACAGAGTGCCAGGAGCCCAGAACAGCCTCACTCAACTGGGAGGGGCTGTCTTGGGAACCCTCATCTCACGCCCAGATTCCTGACTTAGGCCTGTTCTCCTTCATCAACTCCACGATCACTGTCCTCCCAACCTCCTTGCTGTCTGTCAAGTCCTGACCCCCAATAGTTTGGCTTCTATCCCCACCCTCCCCACACTGCAGGCTACTTTGGTCCCAGCTCCAGTAACCTCCACCCAATCCTACCTCCAATTAATATCCCTCCCTCCCTCCCTCCTGGGCCTTTAGCTTTGAATAAGAATAGGAGCAGATTCCTCCATCGATCCTCTCCCTCCCTCCTCCCTAATCAATCAATCAGGGTGATTGACTGAGGCACTGGGATGGGGTGGGGGAGATACAGGGCCAGCAGTATTTGTGAAGTTGGTTGGGGGTGTAGTGTCTTGTTTTCTTTCTGAAACAAGAACCTACTTAAAGAATAACGAAAGTCTGAAAAACTGAGTCTGGCAGAATCATAGGCACATGGGGGGGGGCACAGTGGTTAAAGACTCTCAACCCTGACTGAGGACTTCCCCGATACTGCTTTAGCCTGAGGAGTCAGCTTATTCTAACACTCCCAGTTTATACATTCCCCGGAGTGCTCCTACGGGGCAGGGCTTCACAGGAGGAACTACAGCTGAGAGCGATGGGGGGTAGTGAGGAGGGCTGAGAGGGAAAGGCCGAAGTGGGCAGGGTCAAGGGG